GTGATGTCCAATCATGTCTACAGAGGCCCTATATTGAAGCCAAGTTACTCATCTCCTAAGAGAAGTGATAGACTCAGATGCAGAAGGTGACATACATTTTCAGGGATGGCTGTGGTGTGTATTCATTTTCTTAACTATATTTATTTTTAAAGTATTGTGTTTTTTTTTTTAATAGAGGAGGAGCAAAGGGCTAACAATAGTGATTCTAAAAAGGGAAAAGAAGGAAAAGGTGCCACCAAACTGATAGGCTCACAGTGGAGAAAAACATATATTTTTGGATATGACCATGGTATGAGTTCCTTATGTTTGACTATGCTTATCTGTTATGAGGTGGTTTTTATTTTCTTTATGTTTTTAATTGAGGGAATGGGTAGAGGCAACTAGGTGGTGCAATAAGAATGCCAGAACTAGAGTCAGGAAGCCTCATCTTCCTTTTTTCAAATGTGACCTCAGACACTTAGTAGCTGTGTGATCCTGGATAAGTCACTTAACCTCTATTTCCTCATCTGTAGAATGAGGAATTGGATATAGCACCGACCTCCCAGGGTGTTTGCGAGAATCAAAGCAGATAATACTTGTAAAGTGCTTAGCACAGTACCTACTATGAGGTACTATATAAATGCTAGTTACTACTACAGCAACTGTTAGAGAAGTGGCCATGGTGATGCCAAAGAAAAGAAAAAGGACCAAGCATTATTTTAGAGAGCTCAGAGGAGAACAGAAGGACTTTGAGAAGGAAGCACAGATAAGCAAGACAGCTTTGAAAACAGAAGGTTCAATTTGTTTTGTACATAGATGTATATATACGCACATATGTATATATTCTTTCTAAATACATATACATATGTATATGTGTGTATATATGTATGTACTGTATGTGTATATGTATATACACACACACACACATATTTGTTGTTGTTCAGTTGTTTTTTTAGTTGTATCTGACTTCATAAACCATTTGGGGTTTTCTTGGCAAAGATACTACAGTAGTTTGCCATTTCCTTCTCTAGCTCATTTTACAGATGAGGAAACTGAGGCAAACAGGGTTACACAGCTAGTAAGTATCTCAGGCCAGATTTGAATTCAGGAAGTTGAGTCTTCCTGACTCCAGGCCGGCACTCTACTGCAGCAACTACCTGCCATACAAACACACACACACACACACACACACACACAGAGTGTATGTATATGTTGTAACTATATATCCTATAATATCATATATTTACAGTTATTTTTATTTTATTTGTTGTTGTATATTTATTATATAATATATGATATATAATTATATATATTATATATTATGTAATTATAATATATACATATGCAATATGTGTGTGTGTGTGTGTGTATACACGTGCATAAAATATATTAGCATTCCAAAGAAGAGTGCTTGCCAGTAGCAGCTCCTGTTTCCTAGGGTACAGATTTCTTTCTTCAGTGTAGCTTTCTCTGGTCAGCTCCGAGCACCCAGCCAATCACCAGCATGCTGTGGCATTTGAATGGATCAATGGGATATAGTCTGTCCCTATTAGGAAGTTGGTCTGGAAAGTCTTGGCTGTGTGTTGGGTGCAGCATTTGTGCAGGTGTGTGTGCCCAGGGTTTTGTGTATTCCGCCTAAGTTGAGGGAGGTAGTTTGCACCAGATTTTGTTATTCAGTCTACAACTGAAGCTTTTGTTATTTAGTGTGTTGTATTTTGTGGTGTTTAGAATGGAAGGTAATTAGTCAAGCTGCATGTTCTGATAACAAGGTTGCATATTTTTTCCCCCTCCACAATTCCTCCTTTTGATACTTTCTCAGAAGTTTCCTTAAATCTGGGCCATTCAGTGCTCACGATACCATAAGGCAATGGTTTATATAGCAAAATAGGAAGCTGAGTCCAGTGAAGCTCATGGTGGTGATGAAACAAAAATGTGTGAATAAGAAATCATAACCAAAACGGAAACTTTCTCTTAAAGACTAAGTAATGAGTATTAATCAATCATACTACAATAAATAAGAGAGGGAGTAAAGAAGACAGTTTAAACAAAACCTCTTGGCAAGAATGGAGGGTCATAGTAATAATTTTAAAAAATATTTACCCAGGTTTTGGAGCTATGGTTTTGAACAGTAGCAATTATCTAACAAAAGAGATAATGATATAGCACCTACTTCACGGTGTTGTTGTGAGGATCTCATGAAATAATACACACATACATATTTGTGTGTGTGTGTGTGTGTGTGTGTGTGTGTGTGTGTGTGTACATAGGGGCAGCTAAGTGACACAGTGGATAGAGTACCAGGTCTGGAGTGAGGAAGACATCTTCCTGAGTTGAAATCTGGCCTCAGATACTTACTAGCTGTGTGACCCTGTGTAAGTCTTAGTTTGCCTCAGTTTCCTCATCTGTAAAATGAACTGGCGAAGGAAATGGCAAACCATTCCAGTGAGTCAGACATGACTAAAACAATTGAACAACAAAGTATATGTATATATATGTAAATGAATATGTAAATATATGTGCATATAAACTTTTACAAACCATAGCAACAAAAGGGCCAGAATTTAAGAATAACTCGAAGGACCAAGCTGTGTCAATTGATAAAGTTAAAGCAAAGAAAATAGTGATAGTAAGATAAAGAAATTTATTTCAAAATTTTTATAACTGTTTGTAATTATTTGTACTTAAGGTGCATTTGTACAGATAGGAGAAAGAAAATATTATCAAATATATTTCCTTGTAATCACTTATTTAGGAATCATATTTTGCATATTTTTTGTGGTTGTTGTTCGTTTGATGCAAACAGGTTTTGTTGTTGTTTTGGTTTGGGGTTAATTTTTTTGTTTTGTTTTGTTTTTTAGTTAGGAGGGTCCTCAGTATAGTTCTAGACTTGGATCTCTTAGAGCACTGGTCTGAAGGTCAGGACCACAGGAGGCTTCTCTGGAAATTTCAAAACAAGAATTTCTTGCACCAGCCTATATGTCTTCATTACTTCTAGATATTCTCTGCAATTATGATGAATGGTCATAACTGTGCTGCACTTTGGCTTTGCAAGTGTCAAAGAAAGATCCAGAGATCTTTAGGTTCCCTAGTAACATTGCTTCTAATATAATTTTTTCTCAACAAGTATTTGTTTTTAGTGTCCACTGTTGACCAAATTTTCAGGCCAAATTTGTCTGGCTTGTTTGACTTATATTGAATAAATTTACAGGTGGAGAATATCATGTAACCATTCTGAGTAGGCCCGCTACAAATTTATGTTACATAATCTCAATTGGGCCCTCACAGCTTCTAGGCAACCCCACTCTACCTCCTTTTATCAACTCACTATCCTACTCTCCACAATGGCTCTTCCAAACCTTTTCATCCCTCTTCAAACTTCCACCAATAATACCAAGAGTAACAATAAGACTTTTTCTTTTCTTTTTTTTGCTTTTGGTGAGGCAATTGGGGTTAAGTGACCTGCACAGGGTCACACAGCTAGTGTCAAGTATCTGAGGCTGGATTTGAACTCAGGTCCTCCTGACTCCAAGGCCAGAGCTCTATTCACTGCACCATCTAGCTGCCCCACAATAACACTTTTGACCCAGCATTACAATTACTAGGTCTGTATCCCAAAGAGATCAGGGACAAAAGAAAAAAGAAATTATATGTAAAAAAATTTGTAAACAGCCCTTTTTGTGGCAGCAAAAAAAAAATTGGAAATTGAGGGGACGTCCATCAATTGAGGAATGACTGAACAAGTTGTGGTATATGATTGTGATGAAATACTACTGTGCTGTAAGAAATGACAAGCAGGATACTTTCAGAAAAACCTGGGAAGACTTATATGAACTGATGCAAAGAGGAGTGAGCAGAACCAGGAGAACACTGTACATAGTAACAGCAATATTGTAATCATGATCAACTGGGAATGACTTAACCTCTTTTAATCAAAAACAGTGATCCAAGTCAATTCCTTAGGACTTCTGCTGTAAAATGTCATCTGCCTCTAGAGAGGGAACTGATGAACTCTGAGTATAGGTTAAAGCATAATTTTTTTCACTTTATTTTTCTCAGTTTTGGGGGGGGGTTGCAACATGGCTAATGTGGAAATATGTTTTGTATTATCTCACATGTATAACTGATATCATATTTCTTACTTTCTTGATGAATGAGGGAGGAAGCGAATTTGAAAATAAATTTTTTAATGAATATGAAAAATAAATGTATAATAAAAATTTTTTTAAAGAGTAACAATAAGACCAATAAACTTTTCTAATTAATCTAATGTAATGGATCACTTAGTGTTACCTGTTACTCATTGGCCCTCAACATTTGCACATTTCTGAATGCTTATAAGCATTCACTAAATAAATAAGGATTTATTTAAATAAATAAATAAATAAGGATTCAATAAATAAATTTCAAAAATAAGAAAAAGGACTTTTCTTAATGAGATGAATTATAGAATATGCAGTAGTAAAATAATATTTAACTGTTGCAAATATCCTCACACTGCTTGAGAAAAAGTAGCCTGTTGTCAAGAAGAACCATATTTACCTTTCAGATATTGTGGCTCTTCATCTCTTTTGTCATGAACTTGTATCAGACAAGAACCATATTGCTCATTACCTTTTAGATTGTCAGGTGTAGATAGAACTTCACTGATGGAATCTTCACTAATGAGTCACTCCTGTTACTGGAATCACAAGGAATACTCTTTCTCTGCCTTACGAATTGCATTTGTAACATTTACGCCATCAAATTCATTATCTGAAAGTTCCCAATTGGACATAGGTAATACATTTCTTATTAGGTCTAAAGTCTGTTCATCAGAATCTCTGAAACATTTTATCAGTAAGGGGGCTATATTATGACAACCAAACTATAAATTCTGAAAATCTGAAAAACCAGAAGAAAAATTAGTAAAATACTAGAAACTACATGCAAAGATAAAATTTTATTTTACTTTATAAATACGTTATTCACAGGTTTTATAAATGTTTGTTGAAATCACCTGATTCTCCAAGGGGAAAACACTAATATAGGCAAAGAAGTAACCCCAAAGTAATAAATGCTGGAACATTTTATCATATTTGCAACAAAAATTCAAAGTGTTTAAGCATATGCCTCATTTGATGCATCTGGTCCTTATTGATAAAACCACATGATTTATTCCTTTTGTTATTTGAAAAGTCTTTTTATTGATAACAAAGACATAGAAGAAAAATCATGAAGTATCAAGTACAAATACCTAATCTTTTTTTGAATTTCAAGTATCTAAAAAAAATTGTATCAATTGATGTACCTGGTCCTCCTCATTTTTAAAGTGCTGCATACATGCTTGTTATTGTTTTTATATCACTTCACAGGAGTAATTTAGATCTCCAATGTAGCATCTTTGTGGGACCCTTAAGGTGTTCCCAGCCATAGACTGAAATATTATAACCAGTAATTTTATAAGGCCCTGAAACAAGGAAGACTTGGATTTAAACTTCCAGTTTTGTCTTAAATCTGGCACCGAAGCTCTCCTCCAAAAGGATCCAGACACTGTAAGAAACAATAGAAAAGAACAAAGAAAAAATGATTAACAGTTAAAAATAGGCCCCAAAGGAACAAGAAATCCACACTAATATCAATTTAGACAGCAATTACTTGTTCTGATCATCTTAAGTTTAGCTGTCTAAGTCATCTGCTTCTGAGAAATATTTTGCCCTGGTAAATCTGAGTCAGAGGGGCTCTGTCCTACTCTGCTGTCCACAAATTGTCTGACTTGATCCACTCACAATGAGAAAAACATTTCCATGAATCAACATCTTGGAGTTTTAACTTCAGTGTCAGTTGTTAATAGTAGCTGAGATGGATAGACACTCCCACCTTGTTTCTAAGGCAGATTTGCAGAGGTATTTCTTCCTGTAGATACTCTTGCCAGGTTCCAAATTGTGCAATGACCCTCATGGTGATTTCCTACATAAAGAATATGGAATGCTTCATGAGTTTTCCTATCATCCTTACCCAGGTGCCATGCTAACTTTCTCTGTATCATTGCAATTTTAGCACTGAATGTGCCATTTTTTTAAAAAAGCAAGTGGTATGTAATCCTTCTTATGTGTTCTACTTTGTTTGTAGAAATACCCTTTTTTGGTGTTTAAGTTCTCAGAGCCCGTGATAAACAAGGTAAATTTTACATTAATACTTTTGGAACTAATAGACCTCATTTCACAAAACAATAGCAAAGGCTGAAAATGTAACGTTTAACATGAGTAAAAGTGGTTTATCTCTAGATATAGCCTATGAAATGACTAAGATTCAAGAGCAGAAACAAAAAAGCACTCCATGGTCAACATCTGTATAAAATCAATGAATAATATGTCATCCAAGGAACATTAAAAATCATGGAATTGTGCAGATTTCTTTTTAGATGTTGAGAGATTTAAGATAGCCATTTGAGATCAGGTCATTGCTACCAGAAATTATAGAGAAGTTATCCTCCAGGAGCCCAGATGTCTTTCTTTTTTAAAAAATTTATTTAAATATTTATTTTTAGTTTTCAACATTCACTTCCACAAGATATTAAGTTCCAAATTTTCTCTCATCTCGCCCCTCCCCCCACCCCAAGATGACAAGCATTCTGTATGCTCCCTTCTCCTAATCTGCCCTCCCTTCTATCCCCCCCCCTTCTCTTATCCCCTTCCCCTTCTATTTTCCTGTAGGGCAGGATAAATTTCTATACCCCATTGCCTGTATATCTTATTTCCCAGTTGCATGTAAAAACAATTTTTAACATTTGTTTTTAAAACTTTGGTTCCAAATTCTTTCCCTTCCTCCCTCCCCACCCACCCTCATTGAGAAGACAAGCAACTCAATACAGGTTATATATGTGTAGTCACGCAAAACACTTCCATAGTAGTCACTTTGTGAAAAACTAACTATATTTGCCTTCATCCTATCCTGCCTTTCTTTTATTCTATTCTCTCTTTTGACACTGTGCCTCCTCAGAAGTGTTTGCTTCTGATTACTCTTTTCCCCAACCAGATATATTTCTTGATGCAGATTACATTGTAATGAAATGGTGGAAACTGTATAACATGCTGCAGGTTGTAAAAATGTAGGACCTACCCATAACTTGTTAATCACTTGTTCTCAAAAAGGACCAGTGACATCAAGAGAGTGATGTCTCAACTTGGATTGAAGTGAGGCAGAGCTGCACAAAGCTGTCAGCCTGAGCTCTCTCCTCCAGAGTCATCTGAGTCCAATGACAGGACAGAAGTCAAGACAACAGACAGTGGCCCAAGATGAAGTAAATGGTCTCGGCCTTTCTAAATAAAGGCCTTTCCCAGGCCTCAGTTTGTCTCAGGCAATGCCCGTTCAATGACTAGAGGCTAGGTGATATTTCTTAGATGTATGACTTTGGGGGACCCTCTCTAAACCTCATTTTCCTCACCTGTAAAATTGGACTGAGACGACCTCTAAGTTACCTTCCAGGTATTTACTGATGGTAAATGTTTAACAACTCTCTTTCCCAACTCACCAGGAAAAATATTTACTTTTTGTCCGGTGCAGGTGATTTCATACAACGTATTTTATGCAGAGGCTGGATGATTATCTGTAAGGTATAACAAATAAGAGATTCCTTCCCTCATTTCCCTTAATACTCAATTAAAGTATCAGCTACAGCCTTTCCTAGTGTTCAGAGATGCTAATGTTTTTTTTTATTCCCTCAAGGTTTTCTTGTATCTTCTTAATAATAATAATGATGATAATGAAGACTGGGTGTCCCTATATCATTCAGGCTAGAAGTACAGAGGCCACTCACTAGGCTGATCCCACTGCTTATTAGTTTTTACCATATTAATGCCAAACTTACACCAGATGGGCATGGTCTACTGCAGCTCAGAATTCAATCAATCAATAAACATCTATTAAACATCTACTATGTGCCAGGTACTAAGGCTGGCAATACAAAAAGAGGCAAAAGATAATCCAGTAACTTAAAAGACAATCAGTTGGCTAATATTGTACATTATAAACCTTCTATCCTTCATACATTATTAGATGATAAATCACTGTACTATAGACACATACCCAAACTATCCTTGAAAATTCAACAGATAGTACTAGAACTAGAGGATCATTACAGATAGAACTATTAACCACAGTCTCCTGAACCTAACATTGATTCAGAAGAACTTAAGAATAATGTTTTCAATAGATGTCATCATACCAAATAATGATGATCCCTAAGCTATGTGGAACGCAAAACTTTCAAAATATAGAAGAGGTCAAAATCACATGGGAACAAGATGAAGTACATATCATCCCTGAGTGCTGTCTGCTATTAGAATTGTCTCAAAGACATTTTCAGTGGGTCTACAGAAGATGAACTTCCATTCCAATTCTTTTATTACATAAAGCAGTCATTTATCAACCTCTTCAAGATTCCACAGAGCATGATAATAAAATGGTAGAAAAGCAGCTTGTTCCCAAACTGTTTTTTTCTGAAACTCAGATGAGAAGAGTGTGATAACAAGGATGACAACAATAAAAATGACAACAGTTTTAGAAAGAATACAAAAAACAACTCTCACAATAATAACAAAATATCCAACCTACCACCCTATGGTAGTTTTAGAAAAATTAACACTTCTAAAAAAAAAGACTAATAGATGTTCTCAGAGTACATGACAAACAGGCAAAAAAATTTCAGAAACATTTTCAGAACAGACACCACTTCACAGAGCAATAGCAAAGGTTGATATAACTGTTACACTGATAACAGAAATAAACAGTCAGTTTTATTGAATATAATTGATATTAGTCTGCTGGTAAATGAAGCTTATGAAAAGGCTAAGATCCAATAATGGAATACAAAAGCAACCCTTTGGCAATATCCATATGAATTCAACATGTCCACATGAACTCAACTATATGTCAACAAAGAAGCACAAAACAAATGACCGAGTAAAACAAATTTGTCTACAAAAAAGGGTTCATGATAATGATATAAGATTAAGGCATTGATACCCATCAGTCGAAAAACATTTATTAAGTTTCAACTATGTGCCAACCACTATAATAAATGCTGGGAATACAAAGAAAGGTAAAAGACAATCCCTGCTTTTAAGGAGCTCAAGTCTAAGGGGTGAGATGATATGTAAGCAACTATGCACAAACGAGCTGTACACAGAATAAATTGGAAATAACAGGGAAGGTACTAGAATTAAGAGGGATTGGGAAGGGCTTCCTATAGAGGATGGGATTTTGGTGAAGACTTGAAGGAAACTAGAAAAGTCAGGAGGTAAAGATGAGAGAGTATTTCAGTGCAAATGCCTGGAGTTGGGAAATGGGGATGTCTTGTTTGAAGAGCATCAAGGAGGCCAGTGTCATTGGCTCAAAAGGTATGTGGGGTGGGTGGAGGTGCAGGCTGGTCTAAGGAGTAAGAAGACTGGAAAGGTAGAGGTGAGAGCAAGTCATGAAGCATTTTGCTAGACAGAGGATCTTATATTTGATCCTGGAAGTGATAACGAGTCAATGGAGTTTATTGACTAGGGGAATGGTATGGTCAGACTTGTGCTTTAAGAAGATCACTTCGGGTCTTGCCATACCAGATCTCAGATTGTATTTAAAAGCAGTAACCATCGAAACAATCTGGTATAGGCTAAGAAATAGAGTGGTGGATCAGTGGAATAGATTTAGGTACACAATACACAGTAGTAAATCACCATGGTAATCTAGTATTTGCTAACCCCAAAGATTCGAATTTTGGGGACAAGAACTCACTATATGACAAAAGCTGCTGGGAAAACTGGAAAACAGTTTGGCAGAAATTAGGTGTAGACCAACATCTCACACTGTATACAAAGATAGGATCAAAATAGTGATGCCGAAAGCAAATCAAATGATACCATAAGCAAATTAGGGGAGCTTGGAAGAGTTTGCCTGTCAGATCTATGGATAAGGGAGGAATTTATGACCAAACAAGAGACAGAGAGCATTGTAAGACGTAAAATGGATCATTTTGATTATATTAAATTTTTAAGTTTTTGCACAAACAGAGACAATACTGCCAAGATTAGAAGGAAAGCAGAAATCTGGGAAACAATTTTTACAGCAAGTGTCTCTAATAAAGGCCTCATTTCTCAAATATACAAAGAACTGAGTCAAATTTTATAAGAATACAAGTCTTTCTTCAATTGATAGCCAAAGGATATGAGCAGACAGTTTTCAGACAAAGCAATAAAAGCTATCTATATGCATATGAAAAATGTTCTAAATCATAGAGAAATGCAAATTAAAACAACCCTGAGGTACCACCTCACACCCATCAGATTGGCTAATATGACAAAAAGGAAAGTAATATTGGAAGGGATGTGGGAAAATTGGGACACTAACATTCTGGAGAGCAATTTGGAACTGTGCCCAAAGGGCTACAAAACTGTGCATACCCTTTGACCTAGCAATACCACTACTAGGTCTGTATCCCAAAGACATTTTTTTTTAAAAAGGAAGAAAGAACCTATTTGTACAAAAATATTTATAGCAGCTCTTTTTGTGGTAGTAAGGAACTGGAAATTGAGAGAATGTTCATCAGTTGAAGAATGGCTGAACAACTTGTAGTATATGATTGTAATAGAATACTGTTGTACTATAAGAAATGATGAGCAGGGGGCACCTAGGTAGTACAGTGGATAGAGCAACAGCTCCTGGAGTCAGGAAGATCTGAGTTCAAATCCAGCCTCAGACATTAGACACTTACTAGCTGTGTGACCCAGGGCAAATCACTTAAACCCATTGCCTAGCAAAAACAAAAAACAAACAAATGATGAGCAGGCAGATTTCAGAAAAACCTGGAAAGACTTACATGAACTGATGCAAATTGAAGTGAACAGAACCAGGAGAACATTGTACACAGTGACAGCAATATTGTACGATGCTAAACTGTGAATGACTAAGCTATTCTCAGCAATACAATTATCCAAGACAATTCCAAAGGATTCATGATGATTCACTTCTAGAGAAAAAACTAATGGAGTACAAATGCAGATCAACATATATTATTTTTCACTTTTTTGTGGGTTTTTTTTGCACGTGTATAACCTATATCAAATTGCTTACCATCTCAGGGAGGGGAGAAGGGAGGGAAGGAAGGAGAGAGGAAGAGAATTTGGAACTCAAAAAAATTTTTAAGTTGTTTTTACAAACAACTGGGAAAAATAAAATATTGTTTTTTTAAAAGGACACTTTGATGGCTAAGTGAAGGATAGACTGAAGTGGGGAGAGACTTGTGGTAAGGAGATCAATCAGCGGGCTGTTTCAAATAGTCCAGGCATGAAGTGAGGTGAGTCTGCTCCAGGGTGTGGCAATATCAAAGGAGAGAAAGGGGTACATACAAGAAGTGTTATGAAGGTAAAAATCAATAGGCCTTGGTGACATATCAGATATGGGGGATGAGAAAGAAAGAGAGAAAGAAGGGGGAGAGAGAAGGGGAGAAACAGGGAGGGAGGGGGAGAGAGAGAGAGAGCGAGAGAGCAAGGAGTTGATGGTGCCTTCAAGAATAATAGGGAAGTTTGGAGGAGGGGACAGTTCAGGAGGGAAAGATAATGAGTTCAGTTTGGGGACATATTGAGCTTAAGATGTCTATGGGACATCCAGTTGAACCTGTTTAATGGGTAGTTAGAGATTAGAATCTGTAGGTCAACAAAGAAATTACAGCTGGGTAAGTAGACCTGAGAATAATCAGCATAGAGATAATTGAATCCATGGTAGCTAATGAGATCTCCAAGTGAAATAGTATAGAGAAAGAAGAGAAGAACAGAGAAACCTGTTGGGTATCCACAGTCAGTGGGAGTAACCTGGGTGAAGATCTAGCAAAGAAGACTGAGAAGGAGCAGTCAAATAGGTAGGATGAGAAACAGTAGAGAGTAATGTCATGAAAACCAGAATTTATTGTTGTACCGAGAAATCAGCGAGCGAGACCCAGGCATAATTTGAAATGTGGATTTATTAGTGTGCAGCTGCAAAGGGTACACACCCAGATCGAGCAGCCCCAATCGGGATAGAGCTTGGGTTTATAAAGGCAGAAGTCATGGAGTAAGTGGTCAGGGGTTGCGTAAGCGGGAAGTTACAGAAGCCAAACAAGCAATTGGTTAATCCTGCCTTTGAGACCACATACGGATCATGAAATAGATTGGGGCGGATATCCTTCTTGGTGGGTTTTCTAAGGCAGGAACTCTTAAGGCAGGAACTTCTAAGGTGGGAACTCCTACTTCTGTGAAGGAGGGCATACAAGATGGAGGTCAGAAAACAAAATGGAGTTCAGTACATGGAGTTCAGTACTTCATTATGAAATGTTTATTCTTAAGAAGACTAGACTTGTAAATTAATATAGATTTTGGAAAGAAAAGTCAAAAGCTGTGCAACATATTACTGAAAGTTGCAAAAAAGTTAGCCTAGAAAGACATGATTGAGTAGCCAGTTTTATATGTAAGAAGCTTGCTAATCTTCATAAACTAACAGGTGACAAATTGCTATACTACAAATTCAAACCTCAAAATATCCCAAGAATTCAACAAATAAACCACTAAAACTGGAATATCATTACAGATA